TTTAACCCTCCCCCCCTTCCTGCTCTCCCGTGTGGGAGAAGGAATCAGTCCAGGTGTTTTCCCTCCAAACCAAGGATTTCCTGACATTTAAAGGAGGAGGTTGGAAGTAGGAATAAAATCTAAGGAACTTTTTCTATAAATATTTACTAATTAAAGCAAAGGAAATGGAAAATATTTTTGAACAATCAGAGAAAAATGAGCAAATTCTGGGAAAAATTTATATCAATATTTAATAAATAACTAGAGCATGTTGATTTCCCACAGTCCTGCCATCAACACGCGCAGCAGGGAGCCCTGGCTGATGCGGCTTTAACACAGCACAGAAGGGGAATGGAGCTGGAAGGGTCCATAGCTGTTGGGGAGGGGGCAGCAGAATGGGTGGGGCAGGTGAATGGCAGGTTGTGGGGAGCTGGGTTGGGCTGTGGCCAAGGGTGGGAAGCAGCTGGGATGGGATAACCTGGGGTCTGGGCAGTCTCCTTCAGAGACCTTATTCTTCCCTTCTCCTCCTGGGCTACTCTGAGTGCTGCATAGGGTAGCATTCTGTAGATATTTAAAAACTCAGTTCATCACTTCCCTTTCAGGAATATGAAAACAATCACACCCACCCTGGGGATTCTGCAAAAAGACTCCTCAACCTGTAGTTAATTGATACAACTTCCCAGACCCCCAGCTAGTCCTTCCAGTACTTTGGGAATTGCTGCACTAGGGACCCAGGAAGCATGGAGCAGCCCTGGAGGGAGGGGAACCCCTCATTCTTCCTCATCCTGGCTCGTCTGGGGAAATAAAATGGCCAACTGCCCCATTAGCAGCCATACAAACACTATTATTCCTAATGAGGGAGGCCCCCAACTTTATTATGAACCACAAAGCAGGTCACTTTATTCAGAAAAATATGTCAGTTTAATCGATGCAAAGAGGAACAATTTGATTCCTTAATGTGAGGGAAAGTAGATCATTGACTGGTTTAATTCTGTATCTGGGGTAAGGGCTCAGGGAAAAGGTTTCCCTCTAAAACCAGGAGAAGTTGCTGCCATTCCAAAGGGTGAATAATCCCCCAAATCTGTGAAATTTGATCGCAGTATTTCAGAATTAGGTGGAAATTGGCAAAATCTGAGGCAATTTTATATTAATAACCAAAATCTACAGGGAAGGGGCAAAATCAAAGGAGATTTTATATCTAATTCAGTAATTAGATGGGGAATGGAGAAATTTTGAATGGATTTGATATCGATATTAGATCATTAGAGAGAAAAAGAGCGAAGGTGTTGTTGGGGTTTGGGGGGGGGAGGGGGAAGGCTTATATAATTTCAGAGAGGGAAAGGCAAATGAATCAGAGCAATTGTTTCCCTCCAAACCAGGGATCCTCTCTCCACTTTGTCACCTACTCTCCTCCTCTGCCTTTGTTATCCCTATCTGCACAGAGATGGTTAAATCTACCACATTGCAGGCTGTCTCCCCACCCCCACCACTTTCCCTTCCATCTCCATCTGAGTTTTCACCCCTTCCCCTGCTGAAAAATCCTCCACACAAACACAAGAGGAAAACTCCAATGGGGCCCATTCATGGTCCCACTGAAGCCCTTTCCTGCATTTTCTACACCTGAACCACTCTTTCCCTGTTCCCCTCCCCCTCATCCCTCCCTCCTGCACAGGTGTATTAACAACTTCAACCCCTGCACTTTCCCTGAGTTCTCTCTCAATCACATGAGTGTGACAGAGACACGCGCGGCAGAGACTGTTCCCTCCCAGTGCTGACTAGCCCCCAGGCCTGTTCCCATGGGGATAGTATAAAGGGCATCACCTGACAGACCTTTATCTACCCCTGACAGGGTCCTACTCGGCATTACCTGGGGGCAGGGGGCAGCAGTGGGATGGAGATTGCGGGATTCCCAGGTCCCCTCAGGGCCATTAACTGCATTATCAGACTCCCACAGAAAAGGCAAGTCCAGAAGCCCAGTGAATGTGATGGGGCCAGTGAGTGAGGGGAACATCCTGGCATTTCCTACCCTGGCAGAGTTTCTGCCCATGGAGGGGAGTGAAATGGCCACAGGGGGCAGCGTGGAAGCAGGAGTGAGAGCGCTGGGGCCCTGCTGTAGGTACCGCTCTGCACTGCAGACTCAGCCATGTGAGGGGAGCTGG